CATTTTGCATACCTGACTTCTAGGCAAGCTTGAAAATGCAAACCTAATAAGTAATATTATATTAAATTAAACAAGATCTATGTGTTTTGACAAGGGACATTTATGTTCTGGGAGCAACATCGATATTCATTGTTTTAAGACAACAAAAGATCACAAAAATGACAACAATGACAGCACATGACAAACAAATAACAAACAAGGACAAAATTGACAACCCTGAGGCTCGAAGTTAAGGCCTCGAAGTTAAGGTGTGATTCCATTTTGGTGATAAAAATGGAAAATGGATGGACCATACGTGGTTCATGCAATCATAATTTCCATGCTAAACAGGTCAAATCCATGCCCAGTTTCTCTCATCAGTTCATACAATTGACACAAATGACTCAGCTGCACACTGAGCTGGCCAACGTAATCACAACGTGTTAGCATCGTGAGCAGGTAAACGTTCAATCAACGTTTTACCATATTTTAGATTTTATCTTTTTGAAAATATTTTGTCTTTTTTTAAATATTTTGTAAAAAATATGAAACCACATTTGTTTGCACAACGTTCTGGACAACAAATTAGTCTACCAAATTTCAGATTAGCCTACCTAAATTTCAGAAATGCCTATGTCATTTTCAAATCACCTAGGCATTTCTGAGATCAGGTAGGCATTTCTGAAAGTCATGAAGGGCAAACCCCTACAAACTAATACCTTACGATCTGGGATGCATTCTTAAGTTTGTGAAGCAGTATTTCTCACAGGACATATTGATCAGCATTATTTCTTGCAGGCGGCAGGCCGCAGGAGGAAGGCGGCACGGAGCCGGCACGCAGCTGGAATTCTAATTGAAATGAAATGCATAATAAAGGAAAGTGTCTTCAAGTCATCGGCCAAGCAATTTTTTGTCATGAAGGCCTTCACATGGTTTGCTTGGAAGAAACACAGAAACATTCCCGTCGAAACTTGCAGGAAATTGGCGCGATGCTTTCTATACATAAGTTTTTCGCATGAATTTTCCTTTGCTGGGTCTGGGATTGGTGGAAAACAACCGATTTTCCGGCGAGTTTCCGTTCCCCAAGTGAATGATTCTTGGAAGCCTGTCCATTTTCCGGCGAGTTTCCCTTCACCAAGCCACGATTTCTTGGAAGATTGCATTTTGTCCGGCGAGTTTCCTGGAAACTCACCAGAAACTTTTTGAAGCGCTAGAAACTGTTTGAAATGCTGTTTAAGTCCAAGAAAGCTTTTGACACCCTTTGACCTTGAAATGGGGGCATTCCTCACCAGATTCTCGACCCAAAGTGTAACATTTTTTTCTGGTGAGTTTCCAGGAAACTCACCAGAAAATTGTGCTTTTAACATGAGCCACGTTTTGATAACTTGTGCTTGCTGTCAAAGTTTTCTGTATATTAGGCCACATTTACAAAGTGAAAACATGCAGGGGCATGGTTTTATATACTATGTGTGGGTTTTTCTGGTGAGTTTCCTGGAAACTCACCAGAAAAAAAATGTTACACTTTGGGTCGAGAATCTGGTGAGGAATGCCCCCATTTCAAGGTCAAAGGGTGTCAAAAGCTTTCTTGGACTTAAACAGCATTTCAAACAGTTTCTATAGCGCTTCAAAAAGTTTCTGGTGAGTTTCCAGGAAACTCGCCGGAGAAAATGCAATCTTCCCGAAAACGCTGACTCCTCAAACGGAAACTCGCCGGAAAAGGGACGGGCCTCCCAAAAATCACTGACTTTGGGAACGGAAATTCGCCGGAAAATGGACCGGCCTGTAAGAATCATTGACTTTGGGAACGGAACCTCGCCGGAAAATAGGTTGTTTTCTGCCAATGTACCAAGCTCACCAAAAGAAAAAAAACACGGGGAAATTGACTGGAAACATGTCTATAACTTTCTGAATTCAACTTGCGTTGCACTGAAAATGAGCCTCAAGAACCCCAAGACATCCCAAGGAAGAAAGTGTAAGAATAACAACACCTCGGACAAACCTGGGTTGAACAGTGACAGCAGAATCAACATTTAAACCAAACGCATAAATGCTTCAACCAAAAGAGCCAAGTCACGCTTGCCACAGCTCCAGCTCCTGCTCAGCCCTCTGCACTTCGGTGTCAGGGTCCATGTTCTCGATGCAATCTGCCCCCTTAATCACCGCAAACACCAAGGCAGTGACCCGCGAGAAGCCTTTGCCGACCAAGCTGACCTTACCCTCAGTCTTCTCTGGCATGACAGAAATGCTTTCTCTGCTGTCGTACCCAGCAGGGTTTCGCAAAATGTCAGTGAGGCAGTTGGTCCATTGAACCCACCGTGGGAGATCCGTGACAACGTCCGAATCACCTGCAGCGCAGGGGTTCACAAAGCCTTTTTTCCTTGAAAGCATGAAGCTCCATCCACAACACGTGAAAGCAATGCCTTCAACGTACGTACACAAACAAAAAAGTATACATTTCAGTATGAAAAGGTTGGAAGGCAGCAAACGAAACTTTAGAAAAGTTAAAAACGCCTGGTCCACGGATTTGAGTCCGAGTCAGAATGAACGCTTCAAGGCTGACAGTGTTGGGTGGAGACACCTCGGAATACTCTGGAATGTACTTGTTGAAGATGTTCATCAGTTCAGTCTCGAGAGCGCCTGCTGGCTTCTTGTACTGCTCCAAAGCCCACAAACAAGGGTGATCCTTTCCCTCCGTAGCAGCGTTGATGACACCCTGCGTCAGCACAATCCACTTTCAAAAAAATAAATGAATCTAAATGATGTACACATACAGTTAGTTTCATTGATTGGTGTGCATGATGGAGTCTTGTTGGTCGATTCTTAAAAATGATTGCAGTGAAATGAAATGCAACAAGGACAGCGACTGCTTGACCGCCCCTGGTTTTTTTTATCAGTGCCAACGCATGCAATGAGTGAAGTTGTTAGAACAACTACAGCCAGTCAAGGTCCCTTCGGCTAGGAATTGACCAAGTTTTCAGGACAACTCCTTACGCTCCACAAACATCAACGCCGTTAGCACTGCCAAAGCAGCACAAGGTCCGAACATGGCGTTTCCTGCCATCTCCACATTCTGCGCATTGCTCAAATGGCTTGGCCACTTGATGTGGTCAAGGCCAAGCTCTGCTGAATCGGACTCATGGATTGGCCACCCTTGCGCTCGAAGCAATTGCATTCCTGAAAGGAACTGCCTCTTCTTTGGGAAATACAAGCTGTTGCTTGTTGTCCTTAACGTTGGAAGGCTCCCGTCACTCAAGGAAGTCACAGGCCGCCCCGATGACTGCCTCAAATCAAATACCGTCACATTGCTCCGAAGCTCCTTGTTCTTGACCATAGCCTGGTATTGTTTGAGATGCTTGGATTCGGAGGGGGTCATCTTTCGAGTGGACTCGGAATCCGGGTCTGCCGTATAGATCAACGGGCTGAGACTCGCCGGCTTCTGGATCATGCAAGGCTGCACACACTCCAGCCATGAGCAGCAAAGAGGAGGACCAACTTCAGCAGGACCAACCCATTTCGTTTTGTGCTTGTTGTAAAGGAGGTAGTACTGTCTGGGTCGCGCCATAGGAATTGAAAAGATTTCTGGTGGGTTGAGCGTCGCCTTTGAGATCTCATACATGTCCTCCAAGCTTCTCATGATCAATTCCTCCGGGTACCGTTCCACGTTCTCGAAGATCAGGACATGAGGCGCAGTCCGTCGCACCTTTGCCAGCCACGCCTTCCCAGGGCCCATTCTGCCATCATGCAACAGTACAAGAAAAAAGGAACCAACACCCTGAAATTTTGAAACAAAACAAAAAACACTTTCAGCAACCCTGAAAGCCTCATGGCTTTCATATCGTGGATCATCGGTGCCCTTTCCCTTGCCAAAAGCGCTCCATGGTGGGCAAACTGGTCCAGCTAGCTCAACATCGAGGCCCCCAGTCGTCACACTCTGGCAGCTGCACATTCGCTGGTGTGTGTAGCAATGAGCTTTCTCGGCTAAACTTGAGCAGCTTGGAGGTCTTTTGCCCTTGCCTTCTTTCAAGCCTTTCACCAGGTCTTTGATATCTCCAAAGCAACAACGACTCGGCCACCTGCAGCGAATCACACTTTGGCAACTGGAATCCCAATCAAGAGCATGGCCCAGGTTGACATCGACACCCTGAGTCTTGGCTAAAGCTTCGATGGTTGCCTCTGCCACTCCACATCCTGTAAAGCTTGTAGTCAGGCTGCCAGTCTTCAACTTCATCAACGCTTGCTTGACTCTGTCCTCACCATAATGCGAAGCCATGGAGCCGACAATGTGCTTCGGCAATAAAAATGTGTCCTTCACATCTGAGATCTGTGTCACGATGTGACTGCCAGCAGCGGGCAACCTGCGCGGGCTGCGGCTGCGATCATCATCATGGTTCCTTCGGGAATTGGCCTTTCGAGCCCAAAATGATTGTCGTGAGGCACCGGCAGGTTCCTGGGAAGCAGCGCGCTGACCACGCTGGCTCATGGATTGAAACAGGCTTTGCAACATGATTGAGTTGCCAGTCAGGCAAGTTTGAGCCGGAGCACTGAAAAAAACTGAAGATGACTAAAGGTACTGACCAGAAGGATATGAAACACAAGTACACACCAATCAAAAATGAACATGATGATTCTTATTCAGCCGCAGCCTCTACCCACTCGGGCGACGCTGGCTTGCCACGCTTAGGGGCACCTCCGCTTCCACCACGAGAAGCGCGTTTACCAGGCATTGAGCCTTTGACAATCAATGCCCTCAGAACTTGAACCAAAACTCTAGGAAGATAACACCTACCTGCTTTCAAGATGCAACACAAACTGTGCTTGAGATATCTTGGGATATTTGGATTGAGTGACTCGCATTGACTCACATTCCGGGCTACAAATAAACTCATGGTTCCAAACTGTTTGCATATCTGCATCTTCAAGATAGAAAACAGAATCTATCTGCTGGCACTGCATTGCCGTTTTGTCCAGAAGGCCAGGTTGGTCAAAGCACAACCGATCACAAGATGTTCACAAGAATCCGCTCACTGTCCCCTCATGTGCACATTGGTTTCCATCCCAGGCACCAAAAGGACTGGCAAATTGCATGGACGGCGCAAAGTCATGGACAGCTCGGGGTCTCCAGCGCATTGATGTAACCAAGTGAGTGGTGGAAAGTTCACATTGTTCCCCCGGCGTCCTGCAGCCAAGTCCTGCAAATACCGGATGGATCTAACAACCCGACTTTCCTCCTGGCTGTCCAGCAAAATCAAGGCACACCGCAGCCAGCCTTGTGCATCTGCCGGCTCATTTGCAGGCCGCACCGCCGTTGGAGCACGACCAAACTGCTGCAAGAAACGATCCAGGAACCCATGCGGGATGGTGACTTGAAGGGACTGGCTTATGTTGGTATCCCACAAGTATCTCTTGACGATCATGATGGTGTCCAGCCCGTTAGGCTCAATGCCCAGCAACCTTCCAGTAGCTGTGCGAGGCTGTAAAATCTCCAAGTCATCCCGCGGAACATCTTTTCCTGAGGTCCACTCTTAAAGGGGGGTGGATTTTTAAACTTTAACGCGTAAAGGGACACAAAGTTCAAACAAATCACTGTAAAGCAAAAAAAGTTGCCAAAGCACGTCAAAACCCAGGGACTCCAAAGCCAGATAAAGCAGTGGTTGGCCGTCAGATCCAGCTTGAGCCCACCAGAGATGCTGATGCCGAATCCATTCATGTAAGTTGCCCAGTCTCGCACAGACTCCAGAACAGAGACATGGATCTCGGCAGCCCCAAGGAAGCTTTTCAATGTTGGTCTGCGAAGAATTGCCTCCACCTCCTTCGCCACTGCCCAAATGTCAGGCAAGTAATCACAGAATTGGAATGCCCGTGAAATGACACCAAAAAGTTGGTCTAAGATGTTATGCGTGTGGCCTTTGATGTGCTGGACAAAGGCCACGGACTGAAAGCAGGCCCTCTGTTGGAGATGGGCGAGAAACATCATCAAGGTCTGGCACTTATTCTCACGGACGGTATTGTCCGTGAGGACAACGAGTTCGGCCGGCAGTTGCAATCCACGAGATCGCGCTGTTGCCTGGCAATTTTCCAAACACCGTGCCAGGACTTCGCAAGTCATGGACCCGTCATGGGCCTGGACTGGGTCTGCAATGAAAAAATCAATGGAATGGTGAAATGCCCAACAGCCCTGCATCTTGCAGCGCGGTCTGCGTATTTTTGGCCCAGACAATCCCTTGGGCCCCCGCCAGCCTTGAATTCTGGGTATGGACCAGTGACTCTGGTCCATCCCGTCTGTTACTATAAACAGACATGGCCGAGCCGCTGTGGGTAACATTGTTCTCAGACTTTCTTCCATGTCTCTGGAACGCCCCACATTGGCATAGTGGACATGCAGCCTCTGGGTGCTCTCAACCAAAGATCTGTACCCTTGCCTTCGTGAGTTCTTGATGTTTTTCTGCAGCTCTGCACATTGATCGCATTGAGCGAAGTCGCCCTTGGCTCTGAATCGCAAGATATTCTTAAAAGCATCCCAAGTCCTGACGAAGGAGCAGTAGCTTACAGTCTGGCCAGTGGCTTTCATGTCTCTCCACAAATCCCGTACCGATCCAGGCGCCAAGTAACGGACAGGAAGGCCAGCCAGATCAGTTCCAAGACCAGAGTCAATGTATCGTGTGAACAAAGTCCTGTCAGCTAAAATTCTTTCAGCGGAGTCATCGGCTGGTGGAGGTGTATCAGACTCTGACGATTCGGTTGCATCATCAGCTCCAATGTAGCGTCTCCGCCTCCTTCGCTGCCACTTCCCATGGAACTTATTGGGCAAGGTCTCCCCAAGACCTTGGTTTCGCTTGGAACTGAGACCAAACCCACAAGAGATAGTGATAGAGGGCCCTTCCATGTTCAGTCAGTGAAAATGTATGTATATAAGTCTGGCAAGCAACGGCTGTAGACCGTAATGAGATAGAGCCGCACTTGTTTCTCCTGCACTTTCGAACGAGGCTTCTTTGGATTGCCCTTCAACCGGCCATCCACTCGAAAATCCTGTTTCGCCAGTGACTCCGCCTGCATCTTGCCCATCTGGAACAGCGCCCGGAAACAGTCCAGAGACATTCTTAATCCCATGACGCACACATTCCGCCCTCCAATGCACTTCCGCAAAATGCAATCCCGGACACCCTTTGACTGCTCGCTGAACAGCGAGAGCAAGGCCAGAAGGTCAAGCAGAATGGATTGAAACTGGCTGAAACATGTCTCTAGACTGCAAAGACACTTCTTGGAAACGTGAGCTTGTACACGCTCCTTGTTTGCTCTGGACTGAGCAACTCCTTTCCTCCCTTTGGCCTTTGATTGGGCCAGAGCTTGTCTCCTGCTATTGTTGTAGCGTCTCTTCTTGTGATCTGCCACTGCCAAGCTGGAAGAAACTCTTTCCTTGGCTGCCACTTCTTGGATCAATGCACTAGTCAGCGCTGGCTTCACACCAGCATTGTCACTGTCTCTGGCTCTTCCTTCTGATGTGTTCGAACCCATCCTCTTGAAGACTACCCCAAGGGCACTTGAACTGCTGACATTGCGGTCAGAGTCAGACTGGCTCCTTTTCTCAGCCATCTTGCCAAACAAATTGCCAAGGGGGCTCGCCATTCATGCAGCTCTACTGAAAGTGGTGGCCACTAACTCGAACTCTTTAACAAATCTTTCTGACGTCATGACATTTTTTTGCTTGAGTCTCTAACTCGAACTCCTTAACAAATCTTTCTGATGCATGACAACTTTTTGCTTGAGTCTTTTGGGACTGTCTAGGATTTGAATTTCAAGTTCATCTTACCTTCAACTTCTGACCTTGGAACTTTGATCCTGTCAAGCCAATTCAATGAAGCGATCAAGAATTCATGGCCACTGTGCGCAAATTCAGATTGCAAGGCTTTTGAACAGGCGTGACTGTGGCTTACAACGAGGACAACTGCTTCAATCTAAGCTCACAACTTCCAACCTACAGCCAGCGCCAATCCTTGACCTCACAAGTGATTGCCTGGATTCAATGGTATGATGACGCTTGCAACTGAAACTGTTCTAGAATTGGATACATGTTTGACTCTTGATGTATCTTATGTGACTTATGTGACTTGGTCAGCCCAAATCAATTTTCGAATGTTATATAAAATTCTAAAAAGATTTGATTAGCGTTGGGCCAAGCCTTTCTATCATGCTTGATGTTGGATTTTGTTTTTAAAGTATTCTAGACTTGATTGTACAAGGCTCTTGTATCGTTATGCTCAAATGATGCATGATGTTTATTATGCGACTTGGTGGGTCCAAGTCAATATTCGATTATTCTAGACTGAAAGCCTCGTACTGTAATGCTCAAATGAAATGATTCACAATGCTTATGCAGCTTGGTGGGTCCAAGTCATTATTTAGGTATTCTAGGCTTGATTGTAGAATGTTCTTATACGGTTATTCCCAAATAATTCATGATGCTTATGCGAGTTGGTGGGTCCAAATCAATATTCGATTATTCTAGACTGAAAGCCTCGTACTGTAATGCTCAAATGATTCACAACGCTTATGCAGCTTGGTGGGTCCAAACCATTATTTAAGTATTCTAGACTTGGTTGCACAACGTTCGGGCATCGTTATTCCCAAACGATTCATGATGTTGATGCGACTTGGTGGGTCCAAGTCAATATTCGATTAGTCTAGACTGACTCAAATGACTCACAACGCTTATGCGGCTTGGTGGGTCCAAACCATTGTTTAAGTATTCTAGACTTGGTACGTTTGTGCATCGTTATTCCCAAACGATTCATGATGTTGATGCGACTTGGTGGGTCCAAGTCAATATTCGATTAGTCGAGGCTGAAAGCCTCGTACTGTAATGCTCAAATGATTCACAACGCTTATGCGGCTTGGTGGGTCCAAACCATTATTTAAGTACTCTAGACTTGGTTGCACAACGTTCGTTTATCGTTATTCCCAAATGATTCACGATACTTATGCAACTTGGTGGGTCCAAGTCAATCTTAGGCTAGTCTAGCGTTGGTCACACAAAGTCTTTGTATCTTATCTGACTTGGTGGGCCCAAGTCTGTCTTCAATTATTCTAAACTTAGTAGCATGAGCTGAGGGGGTCCAAGTCATGGGAAAACATATTTTTTGGCAAATGAAACAGAAATCGATGTTTGGGGGCATACCGGAACTGTGCAATGGGAGCGAACTGATGGGCTGAGTCCACCCACCAATGCTCATTATTGTGAACTTACATCTATGATTTGATCAGCTGCTGACTCGTGATACAACGATACACAAGACATCGCCTCGCCTTTTGCAAGGCCAACAAAGACCTGACAAAGAGCGATCTCATAAGCTTGGATGTTATGCATCCTATACATCATATCCATCAAGTAATATTATATTATAACAAAAAACTCCACAACTGTGAGTTTGAGATCAGCAAATTACAGACCAAAAATTACAGTCAAACCGTTGAAACAACTTGGACAAACAAGTCCTGATTGATCATGATGCTTGTCAGACTTGAGGTCTGAGCCGGCCAAAACCTTCAAAGTGACAAACAGAATGAACTTGAGTTGGCGCACGCTGGAAGCAACTTGATAACACCGATCGCACACTTAGCACCCAGCGGAGTTGCGCCACAAGTGGAGCCTCAGGGCTGGGATCTTCAAACTCATGGCTATGTGACCCTGTATGACCTTACGCATCTGTAAAACTGTACGCACACGTGGGCCAGCGTTGATCATCCAGAAGCAGGCATGCATGCTGATGATTAAACTTGTCAAATCCAAATCCTAACAAGAAATGAATCGACTTGGTGGGCCCAAGTCATTCTAAAAGAACAATGCTGATTGAATGATTTGACTTGGCGGGCCCAAGTCTTTCCACAAGAACAACAATGATATAATTGATTTGAAGTTTGGTGAAGCCACTTTCATCATATCGTCACATCAACAAGACGCGAAAGACGCAAGCGAAGCGAGAGAAGTACACAAAGTAAAACAGCCTGTGATGTGCAAACCGCCTGTGACAGTGTTGCTGCCTTGCCTCGCGTTGCTTATAAAGTGGTAAAACACCAGAAAAAATATAAAGCAATAATTGCAGACTCACAGCCTGATGTCCCAGAATGAGCATTAAAGCATTTGCTCAGCTGTCATAGGTTGGGCGTTAAATCAACCACCCTGTTGGCTTTTTGGTCGCATTGCACAAAAAGTTTAGAAGCCTAACTTCCAACTGACTTATGGAGCAGTCATCAATCATCACATCCATTCATCGCATTTCACTCCGAGCCTCCGGGCTTATGATCAATCTAGAGTCTAGCATTAGAAGAACTTAGATGACTGTAGTATGTTCACCACCGCCCTGTGGTGGGTGGCCAGCTCTTGGGGCGCCCAGACGGCGCCACTATGGAGATGGAAAGTTCAACCTCAGAACTATGGAGTTCAAACTCAGGACGATGCCAAACCCATAAGCACTCTCACAGCGCTACTTCCTGCAAAACGTTTGGGGGTGGCAAGGTTTGGGGGTGGCAAGCTGCATACTGCAATCGTTTTTTCGACTTCGGGGCCCTTTGGCCATTACAGCACAAGCCCCCTATTCCAAAATCCGACAGAGTGCGAAACAGTTTTTGACTTCGGGGCCATTTGGCCATTACAGCACAAGTCCCCGATTCCAAATTCTGACAGAGTAGTAATAGGCTTGGGTTATTCCAACAGTTTATTCCCAGAGGGTACAAGGGGTACATGGAGTTCAATTTGCTGAAGCATTTATAAAAACATGTAGCGCAAAAATTTGGAAATTGTTCCAGACCAAAGACGACTGTGGTAACAAAATTAATATTCCATATGTACTCCATTTGCTGATCGATGGTGTCCAGTGACCCCACGATCCCTTCCAGGTGCTTTGAAAGGACCTTCGTCCATCTGTTAAAAAGAAAAATTGAATGTGCACAGTGCGTGGCTCGTCGCCATCTTGCGAATTTAACACCGCTTTTGCACAGGAGACACTCGGTTGGGATTCAAATGATGATGCTCACCTTGCTCGTCATCAAGGAACTTCTCGGACTCGCCAAGGACTTTCAAGATCAGATGTCAAACGATGTTCAAGCCAAAACAGCTCCACACATATGTGATGGGAGATTGATTTGACTTTGATCAACAGCGACTGCAATCGAATTCGATTGACTTTGATCGACTTGCATTGAGTTTTTGATAGCTAAACATTCTGAAATTTGACACTGTCAACGTTCAGCCACAACTAAACTCAAGCAATAAACTCAAACAGCAAACACTGGGTCCTTGGCCGGCGGCCAATGTGCTCGGAAGGAAAGCAACGAACCTCCGTCATGTGAATTCTCGGAAGGTCCAACTTTGAGGGCAACAGCAACAGCAGCAAAAACACCGTGGGCGGGTACTATATGCCCAATTCTGATATTATTTGGTGGGTCTAAGTCAACGACATTCTCATCATACTGTCGTGATTTGGGGGTCCAAGTCATATTTGAGTGCAACTCCAATTGTTCTGACAACTCTAAAAGACTGGGCTGCTGGCCACCGGGCAGCAAAGCCTGGCAAGCAACAAAGTGACCATGAAAAAATGCGTGCCAGGTGCAAAACACTAAAGAAACCATTTCCAGGTGCAAAGTGCAGCAAACACCCTTTTTCATCCATGCTGGCTGCCAGAGGTTTGCAGCTGTAGGCCCATTGATCCTGAGGGAAAAGCATAGTCAGACTCCAGCCAACCCTTCAGCAAGCAAAGATGCCCACCAAATAGCAAGAATCAACAACTGAGCCTGAGGCGCTTCCATCATCTGTCCTGGCCCATCCATGCCTCCAGTGGGTCTCGGTGTCTGAGTCTGATACACCAAATCCAATTCAATGCGATCCAGTCCAACAAACACGGATGAACATTGAGATTCAGAAATTAAGATGTCCACAACAACTGAGCCTGTGACGCTGCCATCTGTCAAATCCATGCCTTGGGTCTCGGTGTCCAAATCTGGTACATCAAGTCCAATTCTGTGTGATTCAATCCAACCAAAACAGCCAAAAAAACAGTCATTCAGACTGGGAACCAAACCATCATCGTTTGTACCGATGCTTCGGTGGTGGGTTCATTGCATCCTTAATGACATCACATGCACCTGTTCAGTGTTACAGCCATCAGTGATCTGAGCCCGCAACAGGGCGTCCATCTGCTCTTTCTCCCTGCCACCATGGATCGCTGAACTGGCAAGCAGGGACAGAGATCATATTGAGCAACGTGATGATTTGAAGTTGACAAATTGTGAAGCAAACACTCACCAAAAATGACCAAACAGGCCATTCAAGTCCACAACGTTGTCTTTAGCGATGCGGATTTCCCTGCCAGTGACAAGGGGATATAAGATCTGAGCCATTGGAATCTTTCCAAGCATTCTTTTCAAGAGCCTCTTAAAGCCTCAATATGCTGAGCTTCCTACATTGGCTGCAGCCGAAAGGATGTAGTACAGGAATCTATCTGCTTGTACCAGGAGGTCTTCCAGCGGAGGAAACACCTGGGCCAAACAGGAGACATGACAGTCCATTCATGAACTCTTCTTCTTCCTGCAGGGGCAAT